GACCCAACAGCTTTTTTGGAAAGGTTACTTGAGAGGGAAGCAGGATTGGATGTCTCCAAGATTAATTTACCCTCTTTAGACTAGCTTTACAATGTTTTCCAGAGGACGCTCTCGTAGCAACACAATGGTAAAGAGTAGCCAGAGATTGCTGTTGGGAGTGAAGTGTTTGAGTCCCTGAAGTATCATTTGTCCAGGAGAAGCACATACAATATATTTGAATTCATCCCACAGCCCCACACTCAGGGCAACACTGGAAAGAAGGAGATGGATGTTTTTCAAATTGCTTAAATGAGTAAATGACTTGGGCAAAAAAAGGAGAGCAAGGTGTCATCACCTAGAAAAGTTTCAGCAGTCCTTAGGTCAAGGTTTCTCAGCAGCACATGACTGACACTTCAAAGAGGATAAATGTTTGCTGAGGCAGCTGTCCTGTTAATTTTAGAATGTCTACCAGCATCCTTGGCCTCTACTCAGATGCCAGTAGTCATTTCCTTCCACCAGGTGTGACAATCAAAAATGTCCCCAGACTTTGCTAAATGTCCCCTGGAGGGTAAAATTGTCCCTAGTTTGGTTGATAACTAGGGCCCCGGGGCTATGGTCCCCAACCCCCAGGCTGTGGCCTGGTCCCATCTGTGGCCTGTTAAGAAAACAGGGCCAAGCATCACTGTCTGAGCTCCATCTCCCTCCCCCCCTCACCGTGTGTTCTCCCCCCATGTGGCCTACCCCCACCTGTGGAAAAATTGTCTTCCATGAAACCCATCCTTGGTGCCAAATAGGTTGGGGACTACTGCCCTAGGGCATTCCCTTTATCACTTTCCCCTTATTGCAAGGCCACCTCTGGGCAAATTGTATGGTACCCTGGCTGGAATAGCCATTATCTTCTAAGCCTCATCTTCTTCTGCCTATTATTTCAGGATCCATGCAAAAAGAGGATATCCAGATTCTTGAGAAACTTGGTTGCTGTGCTTGGAAAATACATTATCCGTGAGATGTAGGCTGTTAAGCCAAGAGGGCATTCGTGCTCCTATGCTCTGGCAACAGCAGGCTTTGAAAGAATAGCCAAGGGTGGGAGCTATGGGAGTAAAAGAGCTGAAAAGAAAACTGCCAGCTATTAGCGTTGCTGTAGGAGGTAAATGTTCCAGGCTTTGATGCTACAGAGAATTCTCTGAAGGCCTGTGCAAACAGCTTCGCCTGTGGAGCAGGCAGGCGCAGGCGCTGAGTGTTGCCTGCTGCTGAGCTGGGCTTATGGTATTAGGTAGACTTGATCTCTGCTTCCAAATGCCACTGATTTGCTCCATGGAGACATTTGATTCTCATAAATAACCTCTGAAATAACCTCTGGGTTTATTTCTGGGCACTGCTCATCTAAATTCATTGTATTCATTCAAAGCAATCGTGGCTATTTTAAAGTACAGAAGAAGCCTGTCAAGGCCCACTTCGGAGATGAGTTGGCTGGAGACCACGCTCTCTTGCAGGCTCTGAGATAGGGTATTCTTGTCTCCACTTCCTCTCATCTCCTCCCTTCACAGTTCAACCTCCCTGGGCGCTTCCCTTTGGGAAAATTCGCAGATAGCAGTCATTAACTCCTCCGTGTACATCTGAGTTCTGTTCTTAGAGTTCCCCACATTCAAACATTTTAAATGAGAAGGGCTTTATGGCTAAAAGAACTTTAGCCAGCAGTATGGGAGAACATCACTGGGATTGGGAAAAACATGACCAGCACTTCTGAAATCATAGTAAACAAAATCATATATTGCTGCTGGCTGGTAACAAAGGCCAACCTTGTGCTTCTATCTCCTTTGGTTTCTATCCTCTTTAGACACCCTTTGGGGAATTTGTGGGCTTTGGCTGGCTGGAGTTCCCTCTCACTCTGGGAAGGAGAATATTGGCATAGTTTCTGCTTTGCACTATAAGTGCTGGCCTGGCCTTTGTCACAAACTAGTATTTGGGCAGGAAGTAAAAGGAGGGGACAGTGCACGCACATGGGATCCCTCAGGAACGTTGACCTCCAGACCCACAATGGCCCTCACATCTTTCCTTGAACTCTACTTTAGCCTAGAGCCTCCTTTCGGCTTTTTCATGGTAACTTTAACTTAATAGATTCTACTAAGGAATCCTGAATTAGCTTTGATAGGACAGTTTTACCCACGCAGCAACAAAGTCATAGTATTTCTTGCTGGGGCTGTTTGTTCACAGGTAATCTGACATATTTTAGTGGTTATTATTTTATATAACCCTCTCTGACACACACACACACACACACACACACACACATACATACACACACAGGAACAATTGCATAAGTGGCATTTCCACATTTTGTTGGTTTTAATCAATTCCTGGACTTTCTCTGTGTACTGAGGCACATCTGTTCATAGCATTGGCCGAAGCTTAGCTGACATTCCCAGGGTGCATGGTATAAGAGAAAGGGAAAGGTTTCATTGGGGGCTTGAAAAGAAAATTTGGACTCAGCATTCACAAAGTTACCTTTGTTCCCCTAAGAAGTTTCTTCTGACCCATATCCATTGCCCATCACAGTGATTAAATCAGAATTTCTGTATTTCCATTTCACAGTCCTGCTGCTGCTTAGAAAAAAGAGAGAGAAAAATCTTAACTGTTCTCCCACAGAGCTCGAAGGAGAACAAACAGGCTTGGCAGCATATGCCTAATGAAGTCATAAGTGCCAAGAAAAGAATGATAATCCTTGGCCTTTAAAAATATAATAAACAGATTTTGTTTATTTAAGAAAAAAGTTGGACTGCTCATTTCATAAGCCAATCACATAAACTTAACAGAATCTTTATTTTGTTGCTTTGATCTGACTTTTATTTCCCAAACTTTCTAAGTAGGCAAGTTGTTCCTTTCTGTGTAGGCAAGTTCCTTTGTTCCTCTCCAAGGGACACTCTTCCTGGCAAATTTTAGACATTTTTCATAAAAGTCTACAGAATTGAGTGAGATAATTGTCATGAAATGAATTCCATTAATACCATAGTGGTGGCTGAGTGTTATTTTATCAGTAGTATTGAAATAAGGACTTCCCTTAAAGAACAAACTAGCTGAAAACCACACAGCAAATGGGGAAGCATGCCACCCAGGTAAGGAAATGAAAGCTTACCAGCACAGCTTTGCTCAGAATCCAGCTAGAAAAGCTGATCTGACTTTATTTGCAAAATGATTCTACACTGATGACGTCAACATTCAACTGAAATGCTAAATTTCACTCACTCAGCATTAGGTTTTACTCCAGAGTTTGCATCCTTCTTAGGTTTTTGTAGATGTTTTCCTCATATATTAGAAGTTCTCCTTTCTTTTTCTAAGATTTGTCTGTAGCTGGTACTTAATTATAAAATAAGATAATAGATTCCTGTTTTCCTTCCTTACTGAAAATATAACAAATAATTTATTTCCCTTTTTAGAAAGGAAACAAGTACCAGCTTTCGCTGTGGTCTGAAATCCCAACTTTCTCTAGCAATATGGGGTCAGACAGGCAGGATCTGGCTATGTAAGCAAGCGGGATACCCTCATCTTGAAAACATGGGGGTTAAACTCACACAGTGCAAGGCTTCTCTACACTGGCTGCCCTGACATAAGGCCCTGAAGAACTGTCCAAACACCAGTGCCCTGAGACCCTGATCCAGATCATATAATAGATCTCTGTGTAGATGATTCCAGCACTAGCATTTTTTAATGCTCCTCACGTGGATCCAATGTGCAGTTGAGGTTAAGAACTACTAATTACAAGTCCATTCCCCAAAAGATATTCATTTCTCTGTGAGAGTCTCAGGAAAACAGTTTGAGAAACATTGCAGACTGTGAAAGGTTCTTGGATGTTCACAATACCATTTGCATATTGTTCATCCAAGTGACCTGCAGTTAAGAAACTCATGGAACCCATTTAACTTGGCTTTTTTTAAATGACTTGACTATGAAACTCCTTTAATTCAATCGCATCTTGCCCATTTAGAGGAGCTTCTATTTGTCTGAGCACTTCAGGAAACACTGAACTAAATATTCTAGGGACTTTGGGCATCTTCTAGCTCTGAGATTCAATTTCCATTCCATTCTGTTCTGTTCTATACCATTCAGCATGAAATGTTGTCCCAAAAGTATTCCTTTGATTACTTATAAAGACTCTAGTTTGATTCCCTTAGCAGAAACACATGAGATCCATACTCATTATCCTTTTAAGAAAAAATTCAAGGCATCTTCATGAAGGATGCTTTGGAGCATCAATATAAAATGCATGTTGCTAAGCGAAGGGAAAGACCAGCTTTTAGAAAGACGGGATTTTCCTTGTAGATGTAAATAAATCTGCTTGACTCTATACATTCAATTTCACAGGTAACACCTACAGCAAAGCCTCTTGAGTGAGAGAAGAGATAAGAAGACTGAGGACAGGATGTTGCTTGAGAGGATTTGGTGATCCAAGTTTAGGATTACCAATCCAGAGACTAAAAGGGAGGTTATGCAGGGCTGACTCTGAGAGGAGCCCTGGAGGGTACGGGCCCTGATGAGACATAGGTAACTAATTATGTACATTAAAATTTGGATATGCTTTTGTCGTTTCTCAAATAAAGAGTTGCCAAACTTTGTCCTAAACTTTGTTATTAATTGACACAACCTCAAATAGAGTTGAGTACTTAATGTAATGGGTCCACAACTAGTGACTGTTAAAAGGTGTTGGTTCTCAGATTTGCCCACCTGGTTGGACACTGAACTTGTGACTTGTATTATGAGATTAGTCATTAGGTCACTTATTTAAACAGTACTTCCTGAAGGTGGTTCATGTTCCAAGTACTGCAGTAGGTGCTGGAGATAGTGGGAACCAAGATGGACAAGACTTAGGGTCTTCTGGCTGGGCATGGTGGCTCACTTCTATAATCCTAGCACTTTGGACAGCTGAGGCAGGAGGATTGCATGAGGCCAGGAGTTTGAGACCAACCTAGGCAATATAGGGAGACCCCCTGTCTCTACAAAAAAAAAAAAAAAAAAAAAAACACTTTAGCCAGGCATTGTGGTGTACACCTGTAGTCCTAGCTACTCAGGAGGAAGATCCAATGAGCTGAGGACTTCAAAGTTACAGTGAGCTATGATTGTGACACTGCACTTCAACTGGGTGACAGAGTAAGACTCTGTATCCAAAAGCAACATAAAAAAAAGAAGACTTAACCACACAATATAAGGGGTAATGTATATAGTTTATTATCTTTAGCTCAATTATGTAAGCAACAAATTACACATTCTATGAAATATGATGCAAAACCCAAATTTTGAACAATTTTCTCTTTAAGGAATTAGTGAATTCCTTAGTCTGGTTGTGGTGAGCAGAAGTGTCCCCTTGTTGGTCAAACTATATATGCTTCCCTAGGCTTCTGGGTCCTACCATCTTTTATTATTCACAAATCATATTCTGTGTTGAATACTATCATCTCACCCAGAAAAAGAGTTGAAATGTTTTCTTTCCTTTATTGTGAATTTTAAATCAGATAACTTGTGTCTGTGAATTTGCAATCTCTCAGCAATTTCTTGAAATTCAGACATAAATATAGAATCTTCATCAAATGTATTTCTAGGGTTTTTATTACAATTATTTGTCTTTGGAAAGAGCTTAGTAAGTTTCCCCTCCTCCAACATATGTGTTGCAAAACTGTCTGCTACAGATGGCTTCTCTCTAGTGGGTTGGACTGGGGGTCTTTATTCTGCAGTTAGTGACATTTCAAGTCACGAGAGATGCTTGCAGCCTTGACTTTTGGCAAGAGACATTTCCAGATTGGATATGATCTTGGAAAGACTCGTCCTTTCTACAAAAGTCATTGATTGTATGATACTTTATGTAGAGCAATAAGATTTTCCAGGATGCAAAAGCTCATGGTTTAACCATTTACAGTACTTTACTTTCATTATGTATTGGTTGCACATTCTTCAGTAAAAGATTGGAAACTTATACCCAACCTAGCCATGGAACCAGGAGATAATGAACAGGTATAAAGGAGGAAGTGGTGGTAGAGACCAAAGGGGTATGGGCTGAGTTTAGGGCCTGGGTGGAACAAGTCAGGGACAGAGATGTGGCCCTGGGGCGTGTGAGCCCAGGAGAGGGTCCATGTGCCCCTCACATGTGGGTGGGCTCTCCATAACCCTTGGGGCTGGTGTGTGACTGGAAGAGCAAAGCCTCATCTGCCTATTCATCACAGCGGCTATTCCTTTGCCCACTGATTGCTAGGAGCATCTGCATCTGGGCCATCAGAGGCAACACTGTTCTAACCAAGCCATATTGTCAAGAATTATATTTATATTCTAAGATTCTCTACTTAGAATATAATTTTTATTTTTTATAAAAAAAATTCCCATGTGCCACCCAGGACTGTGCACAGCTCTGGGGATAGGCAGACCTGGGTCAAAACCAACTCATTTCCAAGCTGTGAGACCTTGGATAAGTTAGTTAGCCTCGAGGCTCCTTAAAATTCATCTTTCCATTCTCATAGCAGGGATAATAATAGTCCCTAATTCATAGGACTGTTTGGGGATAATTCATGTATAGGATAGTGCCTTAAACATAGATGATTATAATTTTATCATCACTATCATTATTGTCAGGAATAATTTACCCCTTGCATTGTGTCTACTCACTAAATAAAGGATCCGGGGTCACTAATTCTCAGTTCAAATGTAAAGGATGCAGCATGGTAGAAAGAAGCAGATTGTTCTAGTCGTGGAACCTTCCAAATTGACCCTACCAGCCTATTACAGATTATGGTGTGTTTATCCCTTCATTAAATGTGTATAATCATGCTATAGTGCATATTCACAAGGACATTGTGATAAACATATCATATGAGGAATAAATGTATTTTTATAAGTGTAAAGGGCTCTGATAATTTGGATATTGTTTCCATGATGTATTCTGTCATAGTATTTTTTAGTACAGAGTAAAGTAGGCTCTGCTGAAATAACATTTTCTATAGCAAATTTTATATTTTTTAAAAAGTATGTTTAAAATGCATTCCCATAGCCCTCATTAGCAAATAGTGATGTCACCATTCCCTATCTCAGTGAGAAGCACGAGCTGGTGCAGGATCATGAACTGGGAGCTGCTGAGTGAAATGTGCTCATCATCATGTTTATCTGATACAAGTGCACAGTGTGACCAACATAAATAAAGATGGGGACGTCTACTCCAATGTGTGGATTTCTATACTTTCCCTCCAAAACTGGTTAGAGTTGCTTTTCTGACTGGAGATTTGTAAAGAAACTCCTCTGGGTGTCTCCACTGATACCTCCCCAGTCTGAGTCACTGGCAGCTCTCACCTGGATTAGTGCTTTAGCCTCCTAATTGATTTCTCTGCCTCTGTCCTCACTCTCCATACCTGTCATTTACTTGGAACTTAGTTCAGGCCATGTCACTATTTTGTTCAAAACCAGTGAAAAGTTTAATTGCCTTTACTGAGAAAAAGGGAAAGACTTGATTAGTGGCATTTGCTGATTTCTGTGGTGTAAATATTTCCATAGTGGTTTATTTTAAGCTACCAATGTGAAGTCACATTGGAGTTTGGAAGATATGCACAAGTGGCTCTGCTAAAACCAGTGTGATCCAGCTTCAGAACACAGCTGAAAACACTCCCCGGTGACTTCCCGGGCCACTCAAAGTAAAGTCATTATGATGACCATGAGCCGAGCCCAGATTTCCAGTTACATCTTTGATCTCACCTCTATTATCTTCTTACTAGTTCACCTTCTTTATTACTCAGTTATTTAATTTGTAAGATGGGAATGTGTCTGTAGCAACATGTCACATAAAATGTATGGCAGCATTCAGCAGTCTTAAGAAGAAAAACATTTTATAAATCCAAGTTGGTGGGAACATTGGCAGTTCCCCTAATGTGACACACAGATCACTGTCTTTCATTGAGCTGGACAAATTACTCAATGACTGTCTCCCCACAAAACTGGATGTGAACCAAAATTTCTGTCACCTGATTTACTGTGAATAGCCTCGATATCTCTGCAGGGAAAAGAGAAGTATTGCTTTGCTTGACTTTGAAGATGACTTAATAAGGCAAGAATGAATCAGTTGCCATGATCCATTTAGTCACATCAAATCCAGTTCATTGTGTAGATTTGGTCACTAATGCTTTACTCCGAGGTGACCAACAGTTCTGCTGGGTTCACCTTCTTGTCCCAATTAGCCATTCATTTCTGCTCCAGAGCCTGCTTCCTGGCTTTAAAAAGAAGATAGCAGTTATCAAGATATGAAATTTCCTTCCTCACAGAAAATTAGGTCCTAGAGAGTATGAGAGAGTTTTAAGGAAATTATTTGCATATAGGCCTTCCACATATCTTTGTCATCTCAAGGTATGATTTGGGGTTTTTGTGTTTTTCTGAACTTGGTGGTATTGTCTATAGGAATGTGATTTACTCATATGTCAATGACACTTTGGGGATTAAAGTGGAAAGGGAAGAAGAGGTAAAGTAAATTGATAAAGGAGAGGTAAAGTAAATTGACTGCTCACAGCTTGTGTATACAATGCTGTTGCATTTTCACCTCCATCCTTGTGGGAAGGTCTTGTTTGCTTGGATTTCACAAGAATGTTAAATATAAGATGTGAGAAAACTACAGCTTATGTTTGTGTTTCTTATCCTATTATAAGTTAAAGCTAGTAATACTAACCAAAAACAATGCATTAACTGTACCCAACCTGTTTGAATTTGGCAGAAAAATATCCAAAATATGTTATTTGCCTATCATGTTGAATGAAATTAATAGTGCTTATGTAACTCCAGTGCATAAAGTTTACACAAGTGCTTATTTTTATAATTTACAAGGAAATATTAATTGGTTAATTATTCTACTAAACTAGTCTTCTAAATGCTCAAAATTAGGTTGAGACCTACAGGGGTTAAAAATAAGCATAAGAGGTCGCACTGATTCCCTTTCAACCCCAAGGACTTTTACTTTATTTAGGAACAAAAAATTAAAATTATGAAATAAATTTGGGGAAAAATGTATTCTATTTGTGCTTTGGAGGGTTTAGGAAGTAGAGAAGTTTAGAGGACAGCTATTAGTGAGAACAGATTGGACTCTACCTGAGGATAAATTGATTCTGGATCTTATATGGGAAGGTTTAAAGGAATGGAAAGGACATTTTCTACCTGAAGAATTCATTATTCACCCATGCCTCTCATCTAAAGGAAGTTTTACCTATTTTTCTCTTTCATATCACTCTATTTCCTTTGTAGCATTAATCTTAATCACCTGGCTCGACCTCTAGTACTCACGTTTGAGGAAATAAATGTCTTGTTTTCTGTTGAATGACTAGGACCTAACACACTATTTAGAACAGGTAGGTCTTCAGTAATTATGGGTTTAATTAATTAATCAGGTATGCATTAATCAATCGGGTATTTGTATTTTTTATGGGAGTCATTAGCAAGGAATGAATATTGGTGAGTATAGTAGCATAATGAATATGTACAATATTGTCACATTATGAAATATTTTAAAAATCAAATGCTGTTGGTGGGTGTTTGAGCAAAGGAATGCTCCCTCTAAATGGATCTTCTGTGGGCTGACCTGGTAATGCTATAGCAGATGAATGAGAAGAATGACTGTAAACAAAATCTGGTTTGTTGCTGAGGTCATCTGTGCCTGTGATGATGACAGCCTCACCTGCTGTGACCTTGTGGGAACTGATCTTGACCTCTTCATTTGATATATCTGTGCTCATCACATTAATACTTTAATACAAGGACAAGGATGTTGAAGACATATGGCAGGGAGTGATGATAATGATTGATCATAACATTTAAGCTACATACAAAAAGACAAGATTTACAGCAATTGTGGAACACAGAAAAGATTGCAGGACCAATGCACAGGAAGTTCCATAAGAGAGTCAAAGGAGAGTTGAGGTTGAACTAACAGACAGAGTGAGCTGAAAAGACAATTGTTCAGTAGTCAATGATACACGTGCTTAAAACAGGGGATATGGAGGGAGTGAAATCATTGGTAACCAAAAGGTACAAGTTATGACCGTGAATGTGGTGGCTGAAACAAGAAGAAAAAAAAATATCTTTGAGGAGAAGATTTCAAGAAAATGCGTGGCCAGGGAATGTGTGTATATTTAACACTGTGTCTTATGTATTCCTAAATTAGCCTACAAGTAATTTTTTAAACTTCCTTTTTTTAAACTAAATGGATTGCAATGAAAATCTCTTTTCATGATTTCTACCCAATCCAAATCCTATATTTTCCAAGGTTTGCAAACGCTTTAAGAGAAAACTGAAACAGATGCCCACAAATGACAGTTATAAATGGAAAAAACAAAAACAAAAACCCACTAAAAACCTTTGCCAGAGTATCATTAAGTTAATTGTCATTAGTAAGTTGAACCATGCCTTAGTAAATAAAAAACTTCCTTTTCAATAAGAAAGCCATGAAGTCACATTTTCTTTGTCCCCTTAGATGTATACAGAAAGGTTTTATTTTAATAAGGTAGATCTTAAATTCAAATGTGCTCTCAATTAAACTTCAAACCCTGAGGGATGTGTATCTTTCTCCATTGTACAGTGTTAGTTCATTGTGCTGTCATGTGTGACAGATAATAGATGGTAAATATTATAATGAGGCCAACTAAGATACTCCATCCATTATTACAGGCAAATTGTTTTATTTTTATTTTTAGATGCATTGTGGACATTAAAACTGTTGCTAATATGTTGTGATAATAGCTTTTAATTTGTTATGAATAAAGATGTGTAGGAGAAGATGAGGTTTGATCAAAGGCAAATTTTAACACTGGACCCTGAAACCCCTTAGGGCTACAACATGAAGCAGATAATCCAAAGTGCTTGCATTGACAGAGAGCATTAGATTCAATTATTTTGTCTGAAGGAAACCAATCAGGGAAAGTGCATTGTTCCCGGAAAGCCATTCTAGAAAAACAGGGAGCCAAGCTTTTGGCAATCTTGACATCTATACTTCAGTCTATCGCATTATTACATTTGGGTGCATTAAGCAGATGTGAGACCTGTTGTGCATAAAGACAGCACATTGGCCACTCCATTTAGAGTAACTAATGCATCTGTGCATGACTGTTTGGTTCTTAAGTAGTATCTCTAGTGATTCACATTTATTTGTCACTCTGATTCTAGGAATGAGGGATGGAAGTTGGGTTTTCAGAACTATAGGCATGATTTTATTTTTAAATGGACTTCAGAAATGTCAGAGAGGACAGTTCTCAGCTTTATCAGTTTTCTAAGGTAGAAAGATTTGTGAAATGCTTTGTTGTTAAGTAGGAAAAAGCTTCATGAATAAAACTGGATCTTGATTTACATTCTCATTTTAATCCCACATGTATGCTGAGGGATTATTGGGTGAGGTATTACTATTACATTTGCTAGATGAATGAATCTATTTGGAAATGAATTTGCTAGTGGTCCCACAATGATTTAGGAGCACAGCTAGAAACAATTTCCTAATTAGGCTAGAAAAAAATTATGTGTGCAGTATGGATGTGTGTGAGTGTGTGTGTGTGTGTGTGTGTGTGTGTGTAATCTACAGTGTCTTTTTCTATAGATACACAGATTATAGAGTTTTTCCACTTTGTAGCTACTTCCTGGAAAAAAGAGTGGCTTGACTATTCAATTGTGGATACTGAGCACAGTTCTCTTTAGAGGTTGGGAATTTCTGGATGACATAATGTATTTATTCTGTATATTTCACTTAATCTCTTCACTTCCTTCCAAACCAAATTCCTATTTTAAAAAATTTTGGTCTTCCAGACTTATCATATAGAAGCAAAATTCTAAACAGTTGTAATATTTTAATTTAATATATACCTAAAAATAAAATAATTAAATATATATTCTTTTAAATGTAGGTCTGAATTTAATTTTAATCCCCAAATAGTTACATGTTACTTTTTGTGCTCCAAGAGTATACTAGGTGCCATGGGAGATAATGGAATGTCCAAAATTTCATCCTCATCTTCAAAAACTTTATAATCTCAAGTCTGTATGTAATAGCTATAATATAAGGCAAAAAGTTACAAATAATATAAAGGAAGTTCAAACTGAAGAACAAAGCAGAAATAGTTGAAAGTTTTGGTATTCAGAAAGTCAAGGAGAATGGAACATTGTGGAAAGAAACTGTGGTATAGAAGAAAGAAAATAGCTCTAAAGGTATTGAGAAGAATCTAGATAGAGAAAAAAAATTTCTATATTATGCAATTAGCACAGGATAGTGACTTTTAAGAAAACTATTATGGTAGGCTCTTTGGTACAGGGTACAACAATGACAAGGTACAACAGTGACAAGAAAGTGTGACTGCCCTTTTAGTCTTTTACATCTTGTTTAAAGGTGCATCCCTGGCAGCTAGCAATGTATTGAGCACAGAAGAGATGCTCAGTAAATGTCTGTTAATTAAATATGAATGAATGATTTAATAAATGAATGAGAGAGAAGGAAGAAAAGAAGAGCATAAGAGAACAAGAAAGGGAGGGAGAAAGGAAAAGATAAAGAAATGAAGAAAAAAAGAATGAAAAAGATTAAGTAGGAGCTCACAAGTGTTTGAGGGAAAGTATTCTTAAAGAAGTGAGAGCCTGAGACATTTTGGATTCTGAAAGAATAAGCAATAGAGCAAAAACAATGGAGAATAAAGAGGAATAATGGTGTATGTAGAAAAATCCTGGCAAGAGAAATTGAATCAGAAAATCAGGATTCAGAGATGGAGAGGAGAAAGACACAGGGACCTCTCATTGGAAGGCAGCAATCAGGGTAAAATCATCCTTGAGTTGCTGTGCTGAGTGGCTGCGCTTAGATTTATTACAACTATAAGATGTCTTAAAGCTTGAAGTCATTATAATTTGTGTATTACTTATAACTACAGTATTATCTTCATTCTTAAGAAGGATAACCTTAAGTTGCATTCATTATTTAGAAAGACATTGGATTATTTTGAGTTTGAAATGGAAGATGGAACAGTGGTGTATTTTTCTTCCTTGATAGTTCATTTTTCACAATGATTCTACAAATGCATGTCTAGGATTTCCTGATCTTTCTGAAGTGTATTTTTCCCTTTCATCTCCATGGCTCTGTTTAAACTTCAGAATATTTCTGAGACCTGAGCCAAATATTTTATGAGAAGCCTTTCACTGTGCTCAAATACTCTAAATCTCCAGGTACTTTCTATAAAATCTTTGAGATATACTTTTGTTGTAAAGAAATTTAGAGCATCATTCCATTAAATTTTAAGATCTTATTCTTTAAAAAAACCCTATTATCTGAAGGAGTGCATACTACAAATGTTTGGAAAGGCTGAATGCCTTACAGAGCTGACATTAAAACGTTTTTA